CGCCTCCACTTGTACAGTAGCAGACTGCTCACAAGGAGGATCCGCCTCCACTTGTACAGTAGCAGACTGCTCACAAGGAGGATCCGCCTCCACTTGTACAGTAGCAGACTGCTCACAAGGAGGATCCGCCTCCACTTGTACAGTAGCAGACTGCTCACAAGGAGGATCCGCCTCCACTTGTACAGTAGCAGACTGCTCACAAGGAGGATCCGCCTCCACTTGTACAGTAGCAGACTGCTCACAAGGAGGATCCTCCTCCACTTGTACAGTAGCAGACCGCTCACAAGGAGGATCCGCCTCCACTTGTACAGTAGCAGACTGCTCACAAGGAGGATCCGCCTCCACTTGTACAGTAGCAGACTGTGGCGAGACGCTAGCCGGAAAATCACTGACCAGTGACGACTCTCCTACGTCTGACAGCACTGGTGATGGTGACGTCTGACAGCACTGGTGATGGCGACGTCTGACAGCACTGGTGATGGTGACGTCTGACAGCACTGGTGATGGTGACGTCTGACAGCACTGGTGATGGTGACGTCTGACAGCACTGGTGATGGTGACGTCTGACAGCACTGGTGATGGTGACGTCTGACAGCACTGGTGATGGTGACGTCTGACAGCACTGGTGATGGTGACGTCTGACAGCACTGGTGATGGTGACGTCTGACAGCACTGGTGACGGTGACGTCTGACAGCACTGGTGATGGTGACGTCTGACAGCACTGGTGATGGTGACGTCTGACAGCACTGGTGATGGTGACGTCTGACAGCACTGGTGATGGTGACGTCTGACAGCACTGGTGATGGTGACGTCTGACAGCACTGGTGATGGTGACGTCTGACAGCACTGGTGATGGTGACGTCTGACAGCACTGGTGATGGTGACGTCTGACAGCACTGGTGATGGTGACGTCTGACAGCACTGGTGATGGTGACGTCTGATCGATTTCATCCAACTGTGGTTCTGGCAGGGATGCACTCAAGCTTGCCGGAACTGACCGTAGACGCAACTGATCTCGGTGACGCTTCCACAACACATCACCCACTTGTACTTCATAGTTGTAGTCACTGAGGACACGCACAAATCGTGCCGGGACCCAACGATTACCTATGCCGAAATTGAGCGCAAACACAGAGTCACTCTCTGTGAACGCAGGCTTGACGCGATTGCCGTCCTCATGAGCCTTTGCTTGTTGACGTACCTGCGAGGGACGCAAAGCACTGAGCCGCGTGTGTGGCTGGCGTCCAAACATCATCTCCGCAGGTGTTCTGCTGGCATGGTTGGGTGTTGTGCGGTACATTAGCAGAAACCTGTCGAGCCGAGCTTGCAGTGGCTCGCTCGTTGCACCCATTTCCTTCAACTTCTGCTTAAACACACCCACATAGCGCTCAGCAAGTCCATTCGTAGGCGGATGGCCTGGAGCCGTCAGGGTGTGCACAATGTCGTTGGCACGGAGGAAAGCCTTGAATTCCTCGCTCGTGAATTGGGTTCCATTATCAGAAACAAGATGCTCCGGCAGACAAACACAAAGAACACGTGCCGCAGAGCTGCAATAGTGGTTGCAGACGTGGCATTAGACATTGCAATTACATCCAGATACTTTGTGTATGCATCCACCACAACCAGAAACATCTTGCCCATGAATGGTCCTGCAAAATCGATATGCACCCGTTTCCATCGACCGTTTGGCCATGACCAGGTTCCCGACTTGGCAGGTGGACATTTCGCACTTTCTTGGCATTGAGCACATGCCTTGACCAACATTTCAATTCTCTTGATCCACATTTGGCCACCATAAGTACCGTCATGCCATTTGCTTGGTTTTGACCATGCCAAAGTGCTCCGTATGCAAATCACGTAGCAATACCATTCTTAGTGATTTGGGTATGACAACTCGTTGTCCCCACAATGGAATATCATCTTCAGCAGACAGCTCATCCCTCTTATTGTGGTAAGACCGAAACGACTGGGGTACTGAGCTAGGCCACCCATTCACCACATAGTAGAGCACCTTAGATAGCTCAGGGTCACGAGCTGTTTCCGATTTCACTACGTCTGCTTTGATTATCGTATCTTCCTCCACTAGCAAGACACGGACCGTAACCATTTCCTCTGCAGACGGACTGATATTGTCACATGGTTGCCTAGACAGGAAATCCGCGTAGACATTTTCCTTTTCTGGCAAATACTTGATCTCATAATCATAGCCAGCTAGCATTAGTGCTCACTTCTTAATTCGAGCTGATGCGAGTGTAGGAACTGGTTCGTTGTTTCCCAGTAACTTCACTAGTGGTTGATGGTCGGTTTGAAGCGTGAAGTGGCGCCCCAGCAAGTATTTCTGGAACTTCGTAACATTGAAAACCACAGTTACAGCTTCCCGTTCGATTTGTGCATAATGCGATTCAGCCGGTGTTAATTTCCTTGACACGTAAGTAACCGGCAAAACATCGCCATTTGTTTGCCTTTGCAGAAGTACGGCACTTAGACCCATTCGAGAAGCGTCCACCTGGAGTGTGACTGGCTTCTTGACATCGTAGTGTGCTAATAGCGTATGCTCACACATTGCATCTTTCAAGGCCTGGAATGCATCTTCCTCTGCCTTGCTCCATTGCCATTTCATTTCTTTCCTGAGCAGGTTGAACAGTGGTGCAGCAATCTCTGCAAACCGAGGCACAAATTTCCGTTGAAAATTGGCCGCACCCAGAAAAGAGTACGATTCATTCACGTTGTTAGGCAGCTTCGCGACTTTCAAGGCATTCACTCGATCAGGCGAGGGTGCGATTCCCTGCGCGGTTACCTGATGACCGAGGTATGTTAGCTTATCCACCATGTAGTTGAACTTCTTAGGACTGAGCTTGAATCCGTTCTCATTTAGGCATGATAGCACTTGATCCACATTTTTCTCATGGATCTCATCACGACCAGTACGCAACACATCGTCGATATAGCCCCCACATCCTGGCAAATCGCTAAGGGTTTCTTCCGTTACCCGTTGGAAAATAAATATGGCGCTGTGAAAACCAAAAGGGAGTCGTTTGTACTGATACAACCCCTGCATGGTATTGATCGTGGTGTACTTGCGACATTCAGGTGCTATCTCTAGCTGGTTGTAGGCTTGCGACAAATCCAGCTTCGTGAATTTAGACCCCGGGCCCAATTTGTGCAATAGCTCCTCAAGAGTGGGTAGCGGGTATTGCTCGCATTTAGAATGCAGATTGATAGTGCCACTGTAGTCACCACAGATTCTCAACCCACCTCCTGATTTCTCTACCGTGACAGTGGGGGAGGCCCATTCTGAATGCGTGACTTTCTCGATTATACCATCTGCTTTCAATTTATTCAGAGCCTCAACATAGCTCTCCCGAATTGACAGTGGTACCGGCCTTGCCTTTCGGTAAACAGGGCTCTCATCAGACACATGTAATTTCACCTGCACGCCTTTCACCTTTCCCACTTCTGAAGTGTCGAACAACTCTGGGTATTTCTCAATGAATTTAGCGCCCTACTTTTCGACCTGGTGCACTTTTCGAAAATTGATTTCCAGGGGAGTTTGAACAAAGCCATTGCATCTTTGCACAGAATAGATTGACGTTTTCCATTTGTAACCCTCACCAATAGTGTGTGCAATTGTGTGCCCATTCGGAACTCCATTTCCGCTTCCCCGAGACAATTAATCACATCTCCAGAGTAGGACACAAGGTTGATACTGGATTCCATCAGGTTACTCAGCACACCATTGCATTGCAAGAAATCTGCGCTGCTGAGAATCGTGACAGCACTTCCCGTATCAATCTCCATTTGGATAGTGGTACCCATTACATCTAATGACACAGTGTATGGTAGTCGCCCCATTGCATTTACATTATACATGGTGACATCGGGTTTACTAGCACATGGAACGAACTCACCAATTTCTTCCTCGATGTGATGGACGGTTTGTCCAGACTTCTTCTTGCGGCAAGCTCTCTCGATGTGACCCACCGTACCACACGCATGACACTTCACACTCTTGAAGCGGTACTCTTCCGGTTTGTGACCAGCCTTTCACACCGAAAACATTTCTTGTCGTACGACTTGAAAGTTGGAGATGGCTTGCTCGTCGACTGGCGCGAACGAACGGCGTGGACGGGCTGCGCCGTCAATTGCTCCGACTCTCTCAATGCAGTTTCAGTAAAGGCTGATGCCATGCTCCTTCGTAACACTCATCGACTTCAACCCACTGACAAACTGGTCTCGGAGTGCCCTGTCCAAATACGCCTCAAACTTACAGTCCATGGCTGCTTGCTTTAGTCTAGCTGCATACCGTGTTGCTGACTCTCCATCCTTTTGACAAATCCTCTGGAATCTATGAGTCGCCACCAACACACTGACATTAGGCTTGAAGTGCTCTGAAAGCAATTCTCCGAGTTCCGTAAACGATTTCTGCGCTGGGTTGTCCGGCAGGCAAAGACTCTTCAGGATCGAGTAGTTCTCAGCAGAGAGTTGACTGGTCAGGACAGCTGCCTTTGGGGTGTCCGCAGCTCTCTCCTGGTCTGCAGTTGCCCCAGCTGCCACTTGTCCAATACTGTTGGCGATAAAATATAACGTGAGTCTCTCTACATACTCACGAAAATCACCTTTTTCAAAAATTTCAAGCTTCGATCGCGACATCTTCGTCTTCTATCTTCATCGCAAAATTGTTATGTCCCCCTGCGGACTAACATACCATAACATTCATGCATTTTCTCTGGCACGCACAAACACTAGCATTTGGAAGACATTTATCTTGGTCAGCTGGACATTCGAGGACATCTTGTTGCTCAACATTCATCGCTGACATCGCCAGAGAACCATATTCGATAACGGGGCGTATACGTGGTGTATTTGACGGACCTATTGAAGATGGCAACAAAGAATTATGACTTCTCCTGGACCAGGAAATCTGCCATTGACCAGAGAAAGGATTTGATCTGCTGCTCGGATTTTAGCGTTATACGCCAACCCTGCAGTCAAGATCAAGATGGGTACGTCGCCTCAGCAGCCCACAGTTCTATGTCACACCCAGCAGCCTTCCTTTCACTATACCGCTGGCTGAATTTCAATTATCGAGGTTTGTGAAGTATTTGTCTTGTGCCGCTAGCAATCTTCAGATGTGACGTTAGACGTTCGTGTTGATTTGTTGGCTTTCACTTGGCGTCTACTTTTCACCTATCTTTGTCACTACCTCAGTACCATTTGTGACGTGTAAACTAGCGCAACCTATTCCTGTGTACCTCTCCTTCTTATTGTGAATGATTTAGCACTTGTGATAGTTGTGTCTGGTAGGGTTCAGAATACCTCCATTCTGCACTATTCCTTTTGTGTTGATATGTCACACATGCGAGTTAGTTGAGTGTTTACACCTCAGTGCGCCAATATCTTTTCTATAAAATAGCATTATTTAGCTAAACCCTTTCATTCAACAACTGCTTCTCCTCTGATGAGTTCCCCGTTATTATCTCTATGGAACGAAACAAGACTTGTCAGGAGTACTTCTACTTGCTTTCGTGGAGTGTGGCTGGTGAACTGTTCGTGCTGTGATCTGCAAGCGTCGTATGGTCTCGTCGGGTCAAAATGAAAAACCTATTACTACTGTATTTGACGGACCTATTGAAGATGGCACAAAGAATTATGACTTCTCCTGGACCAGGAAATCTGCCATTGACCAGAGGAAGGATTTGATCTGCTGCTCAGATTTTAGCGTTAGACGCCAACCTTGCAGTCGAGATCAAGATGGATACGTCGCCTCAGCAGCCCACAGTTCAATGTCACACCCAGCAGCCTTCCTTTCACTATACCGCTGGCTGAATTTCAATTATCGTGGTTTGTGAAGTATTTGTCTTGTGCCGCTAGCAATCTTCAGATGTGACGTTAGACGTTCGTGATGATTTGTTGGCTTTCACTTGGCGTCTACTTTTCACCTATCTTTGTCACAACCTCAGTACCATTTGTGACGTGTAAACCAGCGCAACCTATTCCTGTGTACCTCTCCTTCTCATTGTGAATGATTTAGCACTTGTGATAGTTGTGTCTGGTAGGGTTCAGAACACCTCCATTCTGCACTATTCCTTTTGTGTTGATATGTCACATATGTGAGTTAGTTGAGTGTTTACACCTCAGTGCGCCAATATCTTTTCTATAAAATAGCATTATTTAGCTAAACCCCTTCATTCAACAACTGCTTCTCCTCTGATGAGTTCCCCGTTATTATCTCTATGGAACGAAACAAGACTTGTCAGGAGTACTAATACTTCCTTTCGTGGAGTGTGGCTGGTGAACTGTTCGTGCTGTGATCTGCAAGCGTCGTATGGTCTCGTCGGGTCAAAATGAAAAACCTATTACCACATGTGGTTTGCCGGAACCAGCAAGATTTTGAGGTTTGAGCTTCGAGGCTCTCACCATTCCCAAAATGTGCTCCAACACTCCCTGTCAGCTATAGAGGATTTGGTGTCAGATGCCAGTCCGATGCAGTGGTAAAAGGGTTTTAGCAATACACAAGAAATAATGGAAGAGAAGTTACCCCGATCATAGTATCATCAATTTGCACATGCTCCAACCCGGCCCCGCTGCAGCCCAGCCTAGGTATAGTATTTTAATCAAGCTCTATCGCCTATCTATCTGCCTGCGCATTGGATATACTTCTGCACCCACTCTGGTTGATAACACATAGTACTGTCCCTCTCTCTCTTATTGGCTACGGCCATCGTGAGAATAAAGATAATACTCAAGTAAAAAATATAAGCTTTGCAACAACTACGTATTACTACGATGATCAGGCAACTAGGACTATAAATATTACACAAACACAAGGAAGCAGGGCCTCGTTGGAGCCAACCTATGTTTTTGGCCCATCGCGGAACTTAAGTGTAGAGTGCCCAGAGTAGGCGCTCTGCCAGGCACCACACGGTATCCCACTGAGGCATTGGGGTTGATAGTAGCAGGAATGTGATGATCAGTGCCAGTCCCCGGCCTTGTAGTTAACCCTTTGTGAGTCCACTGAAAGTACGACAATTATTGTTTCCTCACCTTCAAATAACATGCGGTGTGAAAATTTGAATTTTTTGATCGGATTTACTTTTTCGGTTTTCTTCCGACCTCGAGTCTCACCACGGCAACATTGTACCTCGTAGAGACTTCGGATAACTTCAACGTGATAGCCACGGTTCCCCTCGAAACATAGATGCTTTGTTGATGGAAATCGGCGAAGGAACACCAGAGGTATACTTTTGTTAGTGCCACTGTATATTCAACGAGCGAAATCGATGTTTGAAGTCTAGAGAGAAAAAAAGAGGGTCGGTGTTAGCTGATTGGTGGTTTGAGCTAATGCATTGCCGGCACCCGGTGGACACATACCGTATATTCCCTATTATAAGCACAGGCCTCCATTACTAGCACAGTCTCTAATACTGGCACACTGTGAGCACCTTTCGAAACATTATAAGCACAGTATCTATTATTAGCACGGTCTTGGTGGAAATCAATGCTGCGTGCATGATATCTAGCATGTATTTCTTCTTGCTCTGTATGGATGTATTCGTTGAAAAAATATAAGCACGGTCTCCAATATAAGCACAGGGTAGAGGGGTGTTCAAAAAAATATAATAGGCACGGCGCTTATCATAGATTATACGGTAACCCCTTTTTCTGATTCGCTCTTCCCTCTGTTCATGCAGTCAATACAAAAGTCACTACAAGGATCAATCCAACCAATCCCCCCCAAGCAACCGCACAAAAAACTCCGGAAACCGCAGCTCACAGCCCTGCCACAATAGGGGAAAGTACGGTTGAATCGCATAGCGATTCCAGCAATCATGAGGTCGAGAAGGATGCACAGACGGAAAAGGAAAATAGTGCAAGTAACCACAATGCCAAGACCATTACTTCAATCGTGTCGAATCCCGACGACAGTGCAAGCAGAGACAACACTGATGCCACGCCCGTTTCTAGTACCACCACGGAAGGTGAAGACTCGCCTGCTTCAAATATTGGTTCCTCTCATCCCACAGGAAAGATAAATAATGCAAAGAACCACACTGTTAATACGACCATTTCTCCAACCGTGCCAAATTCTCAAGGCGATTCTGAGGCATTGGAGAGTGTTAGCAGAGACAACACTGATGCCACACCTGTTTCTAGTACCAATACGGAACGTGAAGACTTGCCTGCTTCAAACAGTGGTACACTTGATCCTAGAGGAAAGAAAAATAGTGCAAAGAACCAAAGTTTTGAGGCAGCTACTCAATATGTGTCAATCCCTCACAATGAGACCAAGGCATTGGGCGGCAAGAGTAACAGTGGAAACAACTCTGGTGCTGCAGTCGTTTCTAATACCACCACACAAGTGGAAGGTTCCGCGACTTCCAATAGTTCCAACGGAGACAGCCCTGATGTCCCGCCCGCTTCTCTGACTGCCTCCGAATCACCCCCACGATTTGCTGCCGCGGGTCATGACGGAAATAGCGGCAGCGGCAGTAGTGGCATTGAGTATCTTTTGGCCCCGCTGGCTTTGGCTGGATGCATGGTCCTTGCTTTTACTGGGTTCATGGTGCGACGGAATCGCGTGCAGAAAAATAAAATGAATGCTGGTATGACGGTGTTCGAAGGCATTGAAAAGACATCCCGAGAACCCAAGTGAGTTTTCTTTGGTTTTGATGCAGGCATGTAGCTTGATGTGGATACAAAAATTGCACTCAGAAATTCAACGACGGAGACTTTACCAAGTTATGTTTGTACATGTATGTGTGTGTGTGTATGTGTTTGTGTGTGTGTTTATGTGTGTGTGCCTATTATGTGTGTGTGTGTGTGTGTGTGTGTGTGTGTGTGTGTGTGTGTGTGTGTGTGTGTGAGTGTGAGTGCATGTGTGAGTGCATGTGTGTGTGTATGTGTGTGTATGCATGTATGCATGTGTGTATGTGTCTGAGTGTGTATATGTGTGTGTGTGTGTGTGTTCATGTGTTTGTGTGTGCATTTGTGTCTATGTATGTGCATGTGTGTGTGTAGGTCTGTGTGTGTATATGTGTTCGTGTGTTATCCGCCGTCTCAGCCTGGTGTAGTGATCATAGGTAATGTGCCAGCTACTGGCGTGAAGTGTGCTGTCTAGATTGTACCTCTCTACGGTTACCTGCTGTGCACTAGCGTCAGAGCTTCAGTTGTTTGCAAGACCCTTCAGGGTTATATTCCAGTGGGCAAACTGGTGAAGGTGGGCTTCGTTCCTGAAGAGTGTGTTGCCTCACACCCTATACAGCACCCAGCATCTTTCCAACTTGTTCAGTTTGTGGGTAGAGGCGACGGTTCGATGCCGGAACGGCTTGACAGCCAAATTTGTATAGACCCAAACCGATCATCAGCGTTGATTTTTCACTCGAAATATGTTTGTGGAAGGAAACTGGCATGTTGAAGTTTGCTCTGGGGCCAGAGTCAATCGAACTGAGCCACTCCTTTGTGTTGACCCATTGCCTTCAAGTTGCCCAATTTTTTGCTTCAAAAAGTTCAAATCAGAGATGGCTTCAAACCGGATACATTTTAGAGTGCACGTCAAATTCACTCTGGGTCTGAAATTTGGTAATTGCTATCGCTCCACGAGGGCCAGTACAGTCTACTACAGAGTAACAATACGCCTTGTGTGTGCTTCCATTAGTTTTGATTGGTATGCGATGCTTTATTGGCAAGAGGCGAGCCGCTGTTTACCTGCGACAAGAAGTTGATTTTTCGAAAGTCGTAAAACTCAAGTCGCAGTGCGAAGCAACACGTCAAAAACTCACCTGCTTGGTATGGCGCTTCTGGTCATCGCAGAGCCATGAAATTTTGGCTCCGAGTATAACACATCGTATTCTCACTGTGACATATGTTTTCTAATCAAAATACCAAGAGAGAAAGTGAATATTGAGTCCGTTCCGGTTTGCAACCTGTGTCCTATTTGAAACCGTCGCCTCTACACTTGTAGCGTACAGTGTATACTTAGCGTATCCCGGTAGGTAAGCATGCGCAGTCTTCTGCTCACAATTCTCTTCGCCCCCAGTTAAAGTTACATTTCAGTTAGAGTTAGAGTTAGAGTTAACCTTCTTTCTAGTTCACTTCAGTTTAAACAAAACAACAACAACAACAACGGTGTGTTCACTGAGATCCTTGTAGTAGTTTGTGTCCGCGAGGCTGCGGCCCACTACACACTCATCCCAGATTGTTTTGGGTCTGTTCTGAACGGGCTCGGTTGCTTGAAAGCGTAAGGTTCTACCTGCCACCTCTGATGGTTTTAGCGCACAATTACTTTCTACTCGAAGTATATGTATCTAATATTGACTGAGTACGAGGTCAATATAGGAAATAAAAGCCGAGTAAAAGACCGAGGCGAAGCCGAGGTCTTTTACGAGGTCTTTTATTTCCTATGCTGACCAAGTACGAAGTCAATATTAGATTTATCACGACTGACCAAAGCATGTGTTCAATCGCTAAAAAGGAGTCAAATATAAGCGGTCAATATAGCCCTAAGGAGTCAAATATGCAGGAATATTTGACTGCTTAGGTATGGCAAAATTCTACGTGAGTCAATACTAAGGGAGTGATAAATATATCTGTCCGCAGGTTGAGTATATATATATACTTCGAGTAGAAAGTAATTGTATAAATTCTGGCTTCTTTTTCGTTCTTGCTCATTCCCATGTAACTACTGATAAAAATGGATGAAAAGCTTTTAGTATTATGAAATTGACAACCTTGTTGTTGTGTGTATATACATTTTGTTCGCCTACCTCTCTCTCTCTCTCTCTCTCTCTATATATATATATATATACTCAATCTGCGGACAGCATGCTGTTTCGTTCTTTTTGAACTCATCAGCGCAGCACAGAGAAAATGAGGCCGAACCTGATAGCAATGGAAATAAAAATTTCCAATCAGGCCCGAACGCCTACGTCTCTATTTATATATATATATATATATATATATACACACAACAACAAGGTTGTCAGTTTCATAATACCAAAAGCTTTTCACCCATTTTCATCAGTGGTTACATGGGAATGAGCAAGAACGAAAACGAAGCCAGAATTTATACTGGGGGTAGAGAATCAGCAAGAATATTCTTACGCGCCTCAAGTTCACACTACACTACCATAAGAATGTATGGAGCAGTGGAAAAATGCGGGAAACAACACATGAGGGGAATGCAGTACCAGAACAAACACGTGATAAAGTTGTCAGTCCGGTTGCAGCTTGAACAGCCGTAGCACCTTGATGTGCTTCTTTTGTCGACACAGTTCTGGCCTCAAACTGCGAATGTACAGCGCCTCCAGTGTGAATCGGTGCGCGCTGTTTCGGGCTGGTGTGATCACACTGAAGCTGCTGTTGCGTTCCTGTGGGATGCATTCAGGCTGCGCCTGCAAATGCCTTGTGATGGCGCTATCACTTGTTGCCACACGTTTGTCAGGCGGCTTCTTGTACAGCTTGTCTGGGATATGCTGCTTGATCCTTTCCGAGAATCGCTGACTCTCATATATATATATATATATATATAAATAGAGACGTAGGCGAACAAAATTTATATACACACAACAACAAGGTTGTCAATTTCATAATACTAAAAGCTTTTCACCCATTTTCATCAGTAGTTACATGGGAATGAGCAAGAACGAAAACGAAGCCAGAATTTATACTGGGGGTAGAGAATCAGCAAGAATATTCTTACGCGCCTCAAGTTCACACTACACTACCATAAGAATGTATGGAGCAGTGGAAAAATGCGGGAAACAACACATGAGGGGAATGCAGTACCAGAACAAACACGTGATAAAGTTGTCAGTCCGGTTGCAGCTTGAACAGCCGTAGCACCTTGATGTGCTTCTTTTGTCGACACAGCTCTGGCCTCAAACTGCGAATGTACAGCGCCTCCAGTGTGAATCGGTGCGCGCTGTTCCGGGCTGGTGAGATGACACTGAAGCTGCTGTTGCGTTCCTGCGGGATGCATTCAGGTTGCGCCTGCAAATGCTTTGTGATGGCGCTATCACTTGTTGCCACACGTTTGTCAGGCGGCTTCTTGTACAGCTTGTCTGGGATATGCTGCTTGATCCTTTCCGAGAATCGCTGACATGTCTCACCAACGTACGTCCGCTCACAGCGACACGCATACTTATAAATAAAATTACTATTTTCAAGAGTTGGTGAAACATCCTTCGCGATAGACTAGACCTGAATGCGGGTCTGGTTGTATAAATTACAATGGGGGATACTGTAGGATAGCAGTTCAAAATTGCAGCTTTAATCTTTTTGCGGAAGGCAATGCAATTTTGCCCTTTCCACGGCAATTTTGTGATAATACGCGTTGCAGATTCAAGTTGAGCAGAAGCTGAATCTGGGCTAGGTTCAAGAACGCTTGTCATGACTCGCTTGAGTACTTTGAGTGGGTAACCGTTAGAACACAGAATATCCTCTAGCTTAGCAATTTCAGCTGATAATAGTGATGGTGAGCAGATGTTTTTAGCTCTGAAAGTTAATGATCTGATCAAATTGATTTTGTTTCTAGTGTCACAAAACGAGTCCCAGCGGGTGTAAAGACCTGTGAACGTCGGCTTTCTATATACTGTGGTGAGCAATTCTGTGGAAGAATGCTTAATCAATACATCAAGAAACGGCAATTCTCCATTATTCTCCTCCTCCATCGTAAACTGGAGAGCTGGGTGAAGATTATTTAAATGCTCAGAGAATTCCAATGCCAGTTTCCGGTTGTGAAATGCTGCGAATGTGTCATCCACATAACGCCTATACAGGCTATAGAATTGGGGCCAATGACTGTCTGGAATTGTGTTCTCAAAATATCCAACAAAGATATTGGCTAGCACGGGGCCCAAGGGTGAACCCATGGCTACTCCGTCCCTCTGTGCGTACATATTGCCATTGAAACTGAACTGCACGTCTGATGTGGCTTTGAAAAGCAGCTTCTTGAAAAGATCTTGGGGTATTTGCGGGGCTGATATTTCATCATCATGGTATAGCAACTGTATGCAGATATCTATTGTTTCCTTGAGAGGCACGTTTGTAAAGATGCTGACGACATCGAAAGAGCACAGGAACAGCGATCCAGAGTTCTCTGCCTGCTGCTGGCCAAATTCCTTTACGTCATCCACGAACTCGAAAGTATCCTTAGTTGCGTGGGCGGAATATTTAATCAGGACTGGCTTTAGTAATTCAGCTAGCCACTTGGCCATTTCGTGTTGGGGAGCATTGATCATGGACAGGATTGGTCTAAGTGGCACGTCTTTCTTATGTATTTCTTATGTATTTTCGGTACGCCATAGAGCACAGGTCGGCACGAGCCAACGGGTCGGATCCGGTCATAATCTATATTGAGTATTTTATATATATATATAAATAGAGACGTAGGCGAACAAAATTTGTATACACACAACAACAAGGTTGTCAGTTTCATAACACTAAAAGCTTTTCACCCATTTTCATCAGTAGATACATGGGAATGAGCAAGAACGAAAACGAAGCCAGAATTTATACTGGGGGTAGAGAATCAGCAAGAATATTCTTACGCGCCTCAAGTTCACACTACACTACCATAAGAATGTATGGAGCAGTGGACTGCATTCCCCTCATGTGTTGTTTCCCGCATTTTTCAATGCATGGGCATTGAAGGAGGCAGGTGAAGACGTCAACATCTCGTGGAGAATCAGGCAGAGATCCAGCGCCTACAAAAGAACCTCGAAGCGGTGCAACCTATGCCTATCGGAGAAGATCGCCATAATGAAGAGTGACAAGGCATCGCTCCTCAACACCAGATGCAGCCTGGTCACAAAATGTCGCCACAGCACCAAGTACCTCCTATCGGAGGTGACCTGAACTGTAGACTGCGCTTGCTATCTGTTACACATATACAGAACTCCTGCTATCTAATGTGCATGCATCCTACTTCACTTTATGCACACCACCCGGCCTGCGCGATTGCTCACACTACCACACTTGCCACATTTATCTTCACCTGTGATTCCCACCTAGACTGGCTAGCGTGCTTCTTTTCTCCACCTGTGATTCCCACCTAGGGTGCTTCTTTTCGTCTTTTCTGGTATGTAAAGGGATACTGATGTGAGAGAAGAGTAAGTTGCCTGAAGAGTGCTTTTGCACGAAACTCAGAGTAGCAACACTGAGAAACTTGGAGATCCTTTGTGTCTGAGTGTATAACCCCGCTCTGTCTTAGGACATTGAGCACTTTTTGCCGACGCAAGAAATACTTCTATTGTTCTATATATATATATATATATTAACTGGTTTGAGGGAAAGAGACAAACGGGAAAAGTCTGAAGAAAAAATTGACTGTCACCACCAGGACTCGAACCAGGGACCCTCGCTTGTAGCCAGCATATATATATAGAGTGCTTTTGCACGAAACTCAGAGTAGCAACACTGAGAAACTTGGAGATCCTTTGTGTCTGGGTTAACTCTTGTGTAATTATTACCACCGGTGAAGGTTCTAGAGACTTTTCGCACCACGCATATGGATACGAAATGAATCCTGATTCTTCACCAGGGTTCAAGCATTCGTTAGAGTCCCTTGTAAGGGCTCATTATCACGAATGGAAGCCTCTTCATTCGTGGATCGCTCCGAATCCGTCAGGTTGTATTTTTTTGCCAGGCACACATTTTTTCCTTGATTCCACGCGCTTGCAGCTAGACGTGTGTATACCAAGCTGCAATGCGTACCAGCCATATTCGTAGTTGCCACAGAAATTGGCATGACGGCTTGCAAAACCTGAATCTGTTTTGAATGAAACGAGAACGAGCCGAATCACACTTTCGTTTAGCATTCGATTCGCAGCAGATGTGAAAGGTCCCTTAAATCAGATCCACCCACACTGGTAGCAAGCATTGCCTTCATTGGGGGCAGGGGTAACTGCAGCTGGACCCCTGGGCAGATACTCTCATAGCATCAATCCTTTTCTGCACCTTGTCCTGCCCCACCTACTGAGTCGACCTACAGTGGGGGGGGGGGATTTCATGAATTTCTAGCCATTGGGCAGTTCACTACCCAGTTGAGCCACCCTTCTGATATTCATTTTGCAATCTCTCACACACACTGTCTCTCCCTCCCTCTTTCTCTCTCCATCCCTCTTTCTCTCTGTCTCTCTGTCTCTCTCTGTCTCTGTCTCTTTCTCTCTGTCTCTTTGTCTCTGTGTCTGTCTGTCTGTCTTTCTCTCTTTCTCTCTCTCTGTCTCTCTCTGTCTGTCTCTCTCTCTGTCTCTCTTTCTCTCTCTCTCTCTCTCTCTCTCTCTCTCTCTCTCTCTCTCTCTCTCTCTCTCTCTCTCTCTCTCTCTCTCTCTCTCTCTCTCTCTCTCTCTCTCTCTCTCTCTCTCTCTCTCTCTCTCTCTCTCTCTCTCTCTCTCTCTCTCTCTCTCTCTCTCTCTCTCTCTCTCTCTCTCTCTCTGTCTCTCTCTGTCTCTCTCTCTCTTTCTCTGTCTCTCTCTCTGTCTCTGTGTCCCTCTGTCTCTCTCTATCTCTCTCTCTCTCTCTCTCTCTCTCTCTCTCTCTCTCTCTCTCTCTCTCTCTCTCTCTCTCTCTCTCTCTCTCTCTCTCTCTCTCTCTCTCTCTCTCTCTCTATGTGTGTGTGTGTGTGTGTGTGTGTGTGTGTGTGTGTGTCTCTCTCTCTCTCTCTCTCTCTCTCTCTCTCTCTCTCTCTCTCTCTCTCTCCCTCTCTCTCTCTCTCTCTCTCTCTCTCTCTCTCTCTCTCTCTCTCTCTCCTCTCTCTCTCTCTCTCTCTCTCTCTCTCTCTCTCTCTCTCTCAATCTCTCTCTCTCTCAATCTCTCTCTCTCTCTCTCTCTCTCTCTCTCTCTCTCTTGCTCTTATGTGTCTGTGTGTGTGTGTGTGTGTGTGTGTGTGTGTGTGGGATTCACTGGCCAGAAAAAGTCACTTCAAATAGCTGTATGGTGTAGACCAGGCTGAATAGTGACGGTCAATTCTTCAGCCTTGCAAGCTGTTGAATGGTGCAATCCCAGCACAAGTTGCTATGGCTTCTGCCGTAGCATTGCTATCATCGCCTCCGGCGATGGGCGTCAAAGGTCAAAGGTCAAGGTGTGTGCGTGTGTGTGTGTCTGTGCGTGTGCATAGGCTAATGGTAAGGTCTCAGTTGTAACTATGTACTTGTACAGGGCTACAATTCCACATGTACAGCTTTCCGTAGAAACAGCGTACCGAGGCTAGACTACCCCTTGCAGTTGCGAGGGGTGCATTCAAACAAATGTGCTAAATCAAAGTATAACCGGTGATGGACCATGAGGTCAATGTCAGTTGTGTCGTTCTCTCCGTTTCAAATGTGTTACTTGCCAAACTGCAGAACCTGGGATAAGATCAACGTACTGGGAGAGGCAGACCGGACACAGGACCAGACACAGCCGAAGAGTGAACTAGCAGACAAGCACATCACAGCGCCACAATCTGATCGCTCTAGCACAAGTACCCCGCAAGCCCAGGAAGTCCCTCGTTTAAATGTTGGACAAGTGCCGGCTTACTCGCCGGATGCATCCGTTTTCGAAGAGGACGTCGACACACTTGCCCATGTTCTTGGCTCGCCTCTTCCACCGAGACGGGCACAGTCCACTGCCACCACGAGCACTCACACCAAACAGGCGTCTGCGAGGGGTGAGTTGCAGCTGTCTGGTCAGGACCTAGCTTTACCTAGCAGCACTGCTGGCATGCCCGTCAGTCAACCACGTGCTGCCGAGGTTGCCGATAACTTACACAGCAAGCGACATTCTGCTCAAACCATTGGACGAGAGATACAAATGCAGCATGATAGGACAGTACAGATGCACACCATGGTGGCGCGCAGCAATCAAGCCAGTGAGCGCAAAGCCCAATCCCAGTCCCAGTTCCCCAACGTGGCAGATCCTGCAGAGCCCTCAGTCCAGAGGGATGAAACCCACCAGGGCGTCCATGCACTGCAGATCAAACAGCGCATGCTAGGACTACAATAGCCTGCCAGAGTCGATTTCAAGGGTGTGGTCAGTGGGATTGCTCGTGACGACAGCTTCTGAAGTGCAACTAGCTCCAATGCTAGCAGCACCACACTCGTCCAATCCCAGCAGCCCCACGGAACACAATGATTGGCGTACACCCAACCTGTTTCACCGATGCTGATGGTTACGACATGGTAGAAGGCCAGGCGAGTCGGCAGCCCGGAACAAATCCGAATTGCTAACATGGAATGTTGTGAAATGTATTTATTATAGCATAAATATATTTATTTATATGTATACATCAGTAGTTGAGCCCAAGTTACATTTTTCCTTTTCTGATTTTCTGGGTGTATTTTCGTATGGAAGTATGCCAAATTTCTAAATTTTATGCAGGAAATTATGTCAGAAAAATATTTGAACAGACGGCGAGGAGACAACAATTTGATAACCGCAATCAGTAATACAAGCTGGATCGACATTTGAGTACACTTTATTCATGTAATGTAAAACTGTGGAGACGATGTGCAATAAAACGATGAAAATGTGAAGAAATGGTGTAGAGAAAATGAGGATCCAAAAAAATTCACGGTTCGCGTGAGACTCGGCCAAAGGCCCAGTTTTCCGCATCCGCAGGAACGCCACCACCCTCTTGGATCAAGGCGCAGATGCAGCTCCTAAGCGGTGGGAGGATTCAAACAAGAAAATATTGTTCGGATTAATTTTCTGTAGCCTTGTTCTACTGTGCATTGTCCATCTTATGTGTGAATACCTTGGAAATCTGACAATAGGTTCTCTTTGGAAAAATATATTTGTATCGATAATACGCCAAATATTCACTGTTTCGAAATCGCCTAAAACTCACCTCCCAACATTGTGAGAGTCCAAAACACATATTTACCTATATTCTATAAGGTTAGTGCCTCTGCTTACCAAATTTCAGATCTCTAGCTCAATAATGGGCCAAGTTATTATGTGAACCTTGTCCGCATGTTAACACTAGAACTACCAAAATTTCAACTACCCTAGAAGTACCGGAGGCATCATATGACTCCACTGGACTTAAACATACCTGCTTGGAATTATTATCGGCAATATGTGTAGAAACAGAAGTCCTTGGAATAAAAGGTACCTTTTAAAAGGAAGAACCAATGACAGGTGCACTATCTTGGAGACCAGCAGCTGGCACTGCGCGCAGCGAAAGGGGGACCTCTCGTCAGTTTACGGAAAAAATAAAAGAGCATTTGCTTGCCATGCTCATCCTGCAAACTCTACATTTCAGTCCATTATCCCGGAAATGGCTGCTGCTGGGCCAACGTGCTGGATTTTTCTCAGCCAGGTTGGTCATTCTTTGACTGCTCTGATAAATACATTTACGAGCGAAAGGAGAAAGTGGTGTCGCGACTCATAGCAAACGAATAATTTCCGTTCGACGTCGTGTCCGGAGACAATCTTCGTGATCAAACCTCAAGTAGCAGAGTAGTTCCTGGAAACTATTTTTAGGGATTTTACTTGATTATATGGCGTCCATTCCTATCCAGCCGAAGGGCCATCGTCAGACTATTGCGGGTACAGAGGACGCCTCTTGCGAAACCAATGCCATGATATTGCCTTCACTCAAAGTAGAGTACTCTCCAATTTTTTTGTTTTCCCTTCTACCTTGTGCCCTTGATCATGATATGGATCATATTCTGGTCAATAAATGCAAATCATGCATCTGCCCCATCTTCAAAATTGTGAATATCTCGGAAAAGCCCGCATACTTCGGAAGCAACAACTGGTTGCGTCCCTTCGGGCTTGCTTGATGCAACACATTTCCCAATATTTACCAACTTTGCCAGAGAACCCAGCTTCATGAAGGAAATCCTGCCCAAGTTTTGGAGATTGATGTTCTGTTATGTGTATGGCTCCATAGCTTTATCACCACCATTATCCGCTTGCTTCCTCGACTCCGGTCCCGTATCAGACTGATCGAGAAGCCGGAGCAATTAGTATTCACTCATCTTCATCTGGAGCATATATCTATGTGTCTCTGTGTTCGGTCACTTCTAATTGCTCGCGCACAATGCTCCAGGCACTCTCCTCGCACTCATCCCCAAACTCCTGCCCTAAAATTTCAAAATCAAATGAAATGTTTTATCGGCAGCGACACTGCGCCTACTGAACATGGCTTCCGCCAGACCAACATAAACTATATATTATAACTGCCCTGGCACTTCATATCGTTCTATGCTGCAGTTGACAAATTGAATCACTTTCACTTTCAAGTTAGGACAAACAAATTTGTCTCTTTCGGCAGGATTCGGGATTACGATATTGACCATAACGACACGTGAAATGTGCATATTAGCAAGTCCATAATGTACAAATCACCACCTTCATGGTCCCCAATCTCCTTGCTCCCAAATGTATTCCTCTTCACGTTATTCACGTGTGGTTCTAAGCCAAATTCGCCCTTTTATTGATGCCTATGGTATGTGGAGTCATATGATGCCGCGCGGTAGTTCTAGGTAGCACCCCCTGGCATTTCGGAACTGTACTAAATTTTTGAAAACACAACCCACTTCGGGAGAATGAAGTCGAAGACACCACTGCAGCTGTACTTATGGTTGATAAATATGGTGGTAAAGACACACCTGGCTGTGTGGCGGTAAAACACACGCCTGCTCACACACGCTCTCTAGGCTGCAAAGTTCTGGCACAGAGCTCTCCTTCTCACCACCACCACCACCACCATCAGTTCGAAGATACCACCATCCATTGCGCTGCTTGCTTCCTCTATTACAGAATAGATGTACTTCGGAATCTCACAGCCTAGCATTACCCTCTAGTTGGCCTGACCTAGCACATCTCAACTCTCACGTCCATTGAAAGTCTACTTTCATGACCAATGTTGATGATCTAAGGAGAGATTCCTAGACTCACTGTTTTCTTCACTCCCCATAATCCAGGATAACTAAAAAAAAAAAATCACGGTTCGCGTGAGACTCGGCTGGAAGCCGGGTTTTCCGCATCCGTAGGAACGCCACCACCCTTCAAGGATCAAGGCGCAGATGCAGCTCCTAAAGCGGTGGGAGGTGAGTAGATCAGCTCACCAGCAAGTGGTCAAAGACCGAAAATCCCATTCACTGCATCCATGTTTTCCTCGTGCCAGACCTCGAGTTCCCAATTAACTGTGGGTCGCAGCACGGCTGGAAAAAATCCTTCCGCTTCCAAGCAGGACTTGAACCTGGTACCCTCTGTTTCTCAATCATGGTCTTAGACCATCCCACTATGCCTGCCTGCTAATCTTGTTCTTAATCTTTTCTCCCTTTCCATCGTCATCATAACATTGGGCATGATTGCCCGTTTGACTTGCGATGTAAAAATCAATAAAAGTAATACAATACAATAGAATACGATTACCTAATCCAATTGCACTTGCTTCCTCTATTACCTGATTCTATTAATTTCTCCCTACCAAGAAACAAGAGTGTGCATGTATATGCTACTGGGAGCTTATGTACTCCTGGCTAGGCATATGCGGATTCTGTCGGCAGAAAAATTGGCAGAATTCGGTACTTTTTCTGGTACGTTTCATGGATGTTTGGTATGTGGATAAAGAAATGGAGCAGAATTCGAGGAATCGCCCGCCATAAGGTTTGTACGGTTCTGCCAATTTCACTGCTTCTCGAGCAGAATCTGCCACTTGTTCGAGCATTATCCGCACCCCCTACTCCTGGCCGAGGCTGCGTTGTAGCTAGATCCAAGAGTACACTATTCCTGATAGATCAGATTAGGCCACCCTTTGGTAATTCATTGTTTAACGCCCTTTTTTTCACGAAAAGGTACGCGGGAGGGCGAAAAAAAGCCCATTCCAAAAACTGGAAACCCCAATCAAATATTTTGACCAGTAAAGCATGTGATATATACACTATTTCTGGGTCTGACGGCACTTGCAGGCATAGAACAACACTCTTTGATGGTATATTGGAGCACATGCCTGATGAATCCAACAAAACAGGTACATAGCATGGAGTTAGCATGTCATGAATTCATTACATCTGGATTTTTACTAGGACACACACCGTACGATATTTAAAAGCGAACAAAAAAAGAAAAAGAACACAAGACAAAGGCATGCCCGGGAGGCAAGATTATAAGTTTAAGGTCATGATCGGCACACTGTGAAACTACGCAATCATGTATTTACAACTTCGGATATTATTGGTACTACTACTTCGAAACTCGGATGTTGAGCCATAAATAAATGTGGAAGAGAAAAAGACATATGGATACGAGTTAAGAGTAACTCTCCATCACTGTAACATGATACTATATACAGTCAGAAAGTGCAATAACTAGGCACAAAACTGACAGAGTACTGAAACATTCGACGTCCTGACACCTAGCTTCAACACATCTCCGTAGCGCTAACCGACAGCCTTCCAACTTGCAAGGTTCAAGGTTATGGAAAGACTAAAGAGGGGAAGGCAAGCGCAACGAAAACGAGCAAAAGCTACAGTCCCAACGGAACAAAGAATGTCGATTGTTACTGGACGATGACGAGACCAGTACGATATTTGACAAAGCGGTCTAACTACAATTCGAAGCAGCAAAGTTGGAAGGCTGTCGGTTAGCGCTACGGAGATGTGTTGAAGCTAGGTGTCAGGACGTCGAATGTTTCAGTACTCTGTCAGTTTTGTGCCTAGTTATTGCACTTTCTGACTGTATATGGTATCATGTTACAGTGATGGAGAGTTACTCTTAACTCGTATCCATATGTCTTTTTCTCTTCCACACTACTACTTTCTGGGGGTTTTTCCGGTCGGAGGCAAAAGGTACGCGGGCGCGGACGTTAAACAACGAAAAAAAGAAAGGGTGGCCTTACCACGAAAACAATTTTCAATTAATTTGACTGATACTACTACTGATGTGCTACTGACGACTTACAATACTTCACATATTGAATGGGCCAGGAGGCAAAACTACCATTACAACCCCCCCCCCCCCCCCCCCACCACCACCACACACACACACACACCATGTACCATGTTTACGCCCGTCGCAAGACTTTTTTAATTATTTTATTGCTTGCATACTGGTATTAGTTCAGTCCCACAACCTGCGATAAAATGATCAGCTGTAGCACCTACTCCACTTTTATGTTTATGTATCTATGTCATTTGGATCTTCCCAAGTTGTGCATTGTACTGTTGAGATACCGAATTCAAATAAATCAATACCATGCCATACCATACCGAGAGAAGCACGCAAATCTGCAAATGCACTGGATGTGCACCCACAGATTTTCTCTTATAGCCACGATAGCGAAAAAAACAAGATCTGAATGAGACAGATCAAGACTTGCGCCAGGTAACTGTCTAATCCACACAACTGGCGAAGCCATGTGAATCGACCACCAATGAACACCTGGTCTACACCACACGGAGTACATCGGCATAAAACGTCCAAGACAGTTACCTATACACACACACACACACACACACACACACGCACGCACACACACACGCACACACACACACACATAACTGTCTAATCCACACAACTGGCGAAGCCATGTGAATTGACCACCAATGCACACCTGGTCTACACCACACGGAGTACATCGGCATAAAACGGCCAAGACAGTTACCTATACACACACACACACACACACACACACACACACACGCACACACACACGCACACACACACACACACACACACACACACACACACACACACACACACACACATAACTGTCTAATCCACACAACTAGCGAAGCTATGTGAATCGACCACCAATGCACACCTGGTATGCACCACACGGAGTACATCGGCATAAAACGGCCAAGACAGTTACCTATACACAGCTGTCTCTGTACTCCCAACTCCACCAGAATACTGTCATTTGTGCGCTTCTCCATCCAGGATACTCTGAGCAGACGTCGGTACTCATCGCCTTGCTCTGTCTCTAAAATGGCGTATGAGTGTTCCGAGGCTTGTTATATTTTGCTCAAGCCGCGGTTGCCATTGGTGCATGTCGGTACTGTCAATATACAAATTTTCGGCAGCTATTTAATTTCGGCTATATTCGGCACCGACCCAAAACGCCTAAATTAAAACGCCGATGAAATTTTTCACAGCATCTGTCGCACTATACCATGCCCTGTAGGCCTGTACCAAGAGTACATAACCCCCCAGGGTGTGCAACGCCTGATCCAGCTCTGCATAGGGTCTTGGTCAGGGAGTCGTCAAATACCGGGAGTGGAAACGCCGTTAATCTTGATTATCCATGCTCGCCTCGCGCAAAATTTTTGCAGTGCCTTGAGTACCTCAGCGTCGTCAAATGCAATTTAGAGTAGCCTTGAGTATTTTTTGGGAGAAGGCGTCCATCAGAACGTGTATACAGAGATATTTGCAGTGGTCTGCTCGTTTACTAGTAGGAGGACACCTAATTTATCGGTAGGCGTTATCGCAGTGTTGCGATGTATGACTAGAGGCCCGATTCACGCGCGGATAGTGACGTGACTTTTGATGTAATTTATCGAGGAAAATAGCTCAGCCTCAGTAATCAAAGCCACTTGGTTCGACCCACGAAAAAACTTCTCGTAACCATTGTCCTTTCCATATAGGTGCTACCTGTGAATTTTCTCGGTGTAAGATGATATGCCACTGACTTTTTGAGGGACCCTTTGTTTCTAAAACATTATTGTTTTTTAATGACGACCACATTATTATAAAGTCAAGGAATTTCTCTTATTTTCTTCTTCAGTGTAAGAGAACATCACCGCTTTCAGTATGTCTCATGTCAAGAGGAAGCATGACAACGTATATGCACCACCAACACTGAGAATCCAATTACAGATTTGGCCGATTGTGGCGAGTATCACAGAATTGACAATGCACACCGAATTAAACTGTTCTAAATCCCTCTCTCTTTCTGTCTCGCTTCTCTTTGCCAACTTTGGGTGTCAGCAGTTACGCATGCGTACATGCAAGCACCAATATACGGGTGCGCACGCACTCATTGGCATGCACAAACTGCACATCCACACACACGGCATGCACGAACTGCGCATGCACGCACATTCACACACTGGAATGCATGCATGCATGCACACACACATACACACACACCTGGTCCTGGTAAACACTGCCATTACGGTCACCTGTCCCCTTGCGGGACCGACAACATGGAAGCGACGGCAGAAAGTCGGCAGTCTGCCAAGAGATTAGGGACCATATTCAATCGGCACGACGAGAGAGCCCTCTTTGGCAGCACACACACATACACACACACACATACTGACATGCCCACACTGTGCATGCACACACACGGTGGATGCTCATGTGTCTCAGATTCAATTATCTTTTCAAAGTTTGGTAGATTCGGAGACATGTTGGCCAGAATTTCATGGCCGAAAGTCGCCAACACCGGCTTGAGGCTAGTTAACTCAGGCTTTCTGCTAGCTTCCAGTTCTCTTCTCACTGCAACAACACACCAACCACCATTGTATCTTTTAGGTGTCTCTGCAGTGCAGTTGACTATGGCGGTGGGCTGGGGTGCTGCTGCTGTTGCTGCTGCGGATGATGCTGGCATGATGGACGGCTTTCTTGCCACTACTGTACCGCAAATTAAACTTGAAAACACAGCTGATGTGGTCTCCAGGTCTGGACAAAACGCACACGGAAAACAGCGCAGTATTTCTATATTAAAATTGTCACAAGTATTCATCCAGGTAGAGAATGCCATGTGTATCCTGATTCCTGACCATCACATAGTTTCTTAAATCTACCATTGCATTTCTTTTTACGAGTTTCACATAAAATGTTATGCACGATCATTGGGCAAGTAAAAGAGAAGCTTCCCTGGGTCTGTACTGGGTCTGCAGGTTGATAAATCGAATGCTCTGTACATGCAGCATGCATGTGTAACAAACCAAAACAAAGCTATTCAGTGATAGAAGTATTCACTCGATAAAGCTTGGTTTTTACTCACCTCTCGCCCAAGTTCCTACAACATCAGCCGTAAAATGGCTACCGATATCTCCCTGTCCAGCATGACCATGCACTGCCGACGAATCCACGACGAAGAGTGATAATACTACAAAAGGGAAGCGGAAATCTGACGAGAAGGTTTATGTATGGAGACGTCTAAACTGCTTCACTTGCAGGAAGAACCAAAATAAATTTTGACATTTTGAAAATCCCGCGGAATTGGTGAATGTGGCACAAAAAAGATTATTTGAAAAAAATCGGCGTGCTCCAGCGCGAGGCGAGCATTGATCACGCTCGCGCATCTCGTTTCCACTCCCGGTATTTGACGACTCCCTGGTCTTGGTCGAGCGGAATCGGATCTTTGCGTCATAATACCGTACACATCCGAAGGGAACCCGGGGAGTCGCGGGTACTCTTGGATCAAAAACAATGGTGCCCTGCCTCGAGACCGGCCTTGCGCTGGTGTGACGTGTACGCATGACATCAAAAGATCCGATTCCGCTCGACCAAGACCCTACACAGAGCTGGATCGGCGTTGCAAACTCTGGGGGGTTCTGTACCCCACGCCGAAAATAAATCGCCGCCGAATTGTCAAAAATCGTGAAGTGCCGAAATTTGCAGCGCCGAAATTTTGTATATTTACAGTAAATGCCAGCCACTGCTGCCTAGGACAACAGGGTTTGTATGATGTAGAATGCGCTCTGTGTATCTACAATCGAGTGACCTGCTTGTGTGGGCTAACTGTAACTACACCAACAAGTGCACTAGTATTGTACACTGTTCTGCTACAGTGTATCATGCTCAGTCTTGTCACTTCTCCCACGTTTACTGTATTGTTTAATTCATTGTACACCTCTTGCCCAGCTCCTCTGAGGCCACACAGAATTAGTAGACTGTTTGTTGTTTTGGGCCACTACACTCGGCTGGTGTAGGGTTGGTCTGCTTTACTCTTCCTTCTCTTCGACGTGTCCAGCTCCTCCAGCTCCTCGACATTCTATTATTACTACAGTTCTAGTAGCTATATTTCATGTACAGTACTACAGTAGAGTCAGGCGCCGAAGAACGTGTTGCCCAAGAATGTGCAGCCTGAAATGCTAAGAACGCCACCGCCTCCAGTTAAGAATGGCGGTGTTGGTTTTCCGGCAGCTTTCGGGATACTACATAATGATCCACTGAATGATTGTTTCTAAGAACATGCTATAAGAGCGCAGCCGGATTGCTGAAAAATAAGAACACCCCAGGCTAACCTCTTGGACACAACGTCCTTGGACGCTCGACTCTACTGTAGTATGTAAGAACGGCTTCGGCAGGGATGTTACATGTTAGAAATCATAAGTACAGGATGCCTGCTAATTTATAAAGTCTGCTCTTCTTTTATGAGAAGCTTTAGCATGCATGCCAAAGGTGGAGTGCAATGACATGCATTTGGAACCGTGATCACTACAATCCTGCGCTAAATTCTAAGATTTAGAACTATAAGTGATGTTGCCCACCCAAGAACGTCGTTCTGAGGGCCTAGGTCGGGGACGTTCTTGGCAGGAGATCATACTGGATTGTAGATAAACTATTATTATTATAACCCACATGTGTGTAGTACCAAAAGCTGCGGTACAGTGCCGAAATACTAGTATAACATACTAATATCACCAGTAGGTTTTCTAACCTTCTTGGCCTATACTGGAGAATCTTCCAGTGAGTGAATCCAGAGCAAGTGCTATGGAATGGACTGGCGAGAGCTCACAATAGCCTGACAGACCCATGCGTCCTTTTTTGAACCGAACAACAATAATTATTATCTTTGGCATTAATTTTAACATGCGGTTTGGGACGCCATGCAGTCCTGGGACAAATATCCAAATGCATTATTGTCTCCAGATCAACCAACGATTGTTATCATACTTGACAATTTCCAACTCAACGACCGCCATGCCAACTCAAGCAAAAAGAAACAAGGGAAGACGGAGATTTCTATTTGTGCAGCCATTCAGGGAGGAGCACGAAGGCTGTTTTAACATTATAGGATTCGACTGTGCATGGACTTCCCCAAAGTGTACTTATCACATACCACGTGACCTCTTAGGCTGTTTGCAGTTCGATATACTTGCATCTGCAGGCCCTTGCCGCACATTCACACTCCAGTACAAACCATAATAATATGCAAATATGTAATGCACATAATGTGACATTTTACGCTTGAAAGCAGATCAGCATTCGAACTTTTTGGAACATTTGAATGCTGACATTTTCATTGCCTTCAGGTTGCAACAGCATAATATTTATTGCAAGAGGGCACAATGGCCCACCCAACATCTTCCAGTGTACACCATCGGCCATGGCAGTACAGACCCTCTGACATCACTCACACCACCCACATAGAAGAGAAGTAATGTTGATACTTGATAGTTAACACGTTACAAATACTACTGAGCTGAGTACATATAGGCCGTACACCAGGTTCAGGATGCATTGATCCATTCTTCTGCTTCAACTACCTTAGCTGCTCATTTCATCTATGGCTACAAGGCCGTCACAGCCAGCTGGGGCGGCTGAGGCCTTTTTTTTTGCTCCGGTCGCTGAATGTCTCAGTAGCTTGTCACTTTTGTGCCCTATTATCGCACTTTCTGACCGTTTATCATCTTGCATGCAGTCGTGGATAGTTACTGTTTAACTCGTTCTCATGTGCTTCTTCTCTTTTTTTCATTATTTACTGCTTCAGTGTCCGAGTTTAATATAATTATATATATTTAGCACCCTGCAACAAGCGCGATGATCTCAGCTCAGAGCAAACGTGGCAAATCCTTGTCCATGATCGTGGTTTGTTGCAGAAACAAAAAAGTCTTTCATTGCAGTTGCACTGAATGGCAACAAACGCCTGGAAATACTTGCAATTGGCTTCAATTTTTGAAATTTCTTCCTCGGGAGAGGGTAATGTTTGTCCCCGATCTTAGCGTCTTCTTGGTTTGTTGCAGAATCAAAAGTCTTTCATTGTAGTTAATAGCTACACTGAAATGGCACCAAAATGCCCGGAGATTCTTGCAATTAGACACCCTTAGCAAACAACGGTAACGCTATTTTTACGGTACTCGTACCTTGATAACCCAAATAGCGTTGAGCTGCAGCGTATAAACGTTATGGGGGCTGATTTATCGTTGTGACCAACGGTACGTGTTTTGGCCAAATATTGCATAGTCCGTACACATTTCACCTTGTATCGCGTATATGGTGACAAAAGTGGTTGTACCACGCGAAATCAAAGCTACTCTCGTGGCAACAGCGTACTAAAAATAGCGTGCATCTTGCTAAAGGTCGAACCCAAATCACGGTATTTTCCCCCTTACGATAATACCGTTACAACATAACGTTTTTTGCTAAGGGTGTCTATTGGCTTCGATTTTTGACCCCTGTCCGGACCCCTCCCCCCCCTCCCATGGCCGCCCCACCTCCAAAGTCGGTGCGACAGGCCTGGGCTATGCATGCTGTCATCAGGGAGTCACATCATTAGAGAGGTTTTGCATTCCGAATTTCGGAATTATTTTCGGAATGTGGCGGCAGGAGTCGAAAAAGTAGTCGAACTTTCGGAAGTGTGGTGGCGAAAGTGCATGGTTTTCCGAAAATAGATTTTCGGCTCTTTCATGTTTGGGAGTGCATATTTGAATACAAAAAGTGTATTTTTCATGTTTGTATTTTTGCTTTCTGCTGCTCTCGATTATTTGAAAAATTTTCCACGTATGTAGTTTTGATTTTTGCTGGTTTTGCTGCTCTCGTTGATCTCGCCATGTTGACTAATCTTCTCACACTTCATCACACTCTATCTTCCTTTGCCCTGGAGCCTACTAACAGTACAAGACAGTAGTTCGCCAACCTCGTCTTCAGCTGTTGGATCACTTGGTCCACCATCAGTCCGTCCTCGTCTTCGAACCGCACCCAAATTCAGTTTGACCTGCGCACATGGATTTGATCCTGCTCAACCCCTTCGACGCTCTCCATTTTGTTTTGCATGGCAACCCTTGGAAACGAAGTCGAATCAGATTTTCGGAATGCAAAACACTGAAAATACCGTTTTTCGGAACGCGCTTTTTTCGGAAAAGCAGTCGAAAATCATTCCGAAATTCGGAAAGCAAAACCTCTCTATTGCGAAAGACTGATGACGGAAAGATCATTGAGCGTTTGTAGTCACAATGCTATCAGAGAAATACGTTTGGCAAATATAGGAATACTGTGGACAAAATTGTACACAATAACCTGCCTTAAAGCAAATCTCAGAAAGAAAGCGCTGTGCAGATGCATGTCAGCCGCTTCAGGTTCAGTCACTTCGTGAGATCCAATAATCATCCAACTGTACTATTCAGCCTTGGGTGATCCACAGAGACGGACAATCTGTTCCGTCCTTCCACATCAGAAACAGAGACTGCAGGCAATGAAAGTCATCGTTGGGCCAACATGACCAGCTTTCAGGCATGGGTTCTCAGAGACCTTCACTCATGATAATGGCATTCACCCTTGGCTACAATCCTGCAAAAACACGTGAAAAGATTGCAGCGCAACAAACTGAATGCTATAAAGAAGCAATTTAGGAAAATAAGCCTATCGTATTTGTAGTACAGTGAAGCTAAGATACAACACCCAGCAGGCAGGCAATCTTGCTAATATCCGATGAATTAGCATGCCTGGTCATGGCACACCGGGTATAAGAATCATGTAACCAGCATAACGTTTCCACCAGTATTGATAATCTATCGTAACGTTATTATCAAACTACATAACTGCTAAGAATGTGCAACTACTAACATAAGGTACGATCGGCTTCAAAATCAATTAATGATTATGAGCAAGCACGCATATATTTCTACATGTGCCATTTAGATAGAGATTAGGCTCAGTAGGCATGGATCTACAGTTCATTGTTCAGCTTCAACTACCAGAGTTGTGATGTTCAAGTTTTGATCTCTGGCTACGCATGATGGTATTAGTGAGCCCAGTGGCCCACAAAACTGAGGTGATGAAACTTTCTGCCATGGGCAGAGGGATCATCGAGTTGCCCACTCTTGGTTATGTACTCATGCCATTATCAACTATCAGTGCACAAGTACTGCTACACCAACACTAGGATTCATTGCAACAATATCACCAGGCACATGCATGCTACTGCACCCATTAAA